CAGCGGAGGAGGAGGAGGAGACGGAGGCGCAGTCTTGTGCCCATTCGGCGCTCGTGACGCCCGCGGAGGTGAGGGTGCAGGAGAGGCAATCGGCCGAGAGGAGAGCAGATGCTTGGCAGACGCAGGTGACGTCGGTCGAGGAGCAGGCCTGGGTACCAGTGTGTTAGTTTAAGGCAGGAATTGTGAGGGGAAGGGGCGCACGAGGAGGGTCTGGAGCGCAGCTTGGTCGGAGGCGGACGAGCACTGCGTGCACGTGCCTGCCGCCGAGGACGTGCTAGCACTAGCGGAGGAGGTCACGGTGCTGCCCCCGGAGGTGGTAGCCCCGCCCGTAATGGAGGAGGTGCCGGCGGAGCAAGCCGCCTGGAGGTCGGACTCGCTCAGGTTCTCGCTGGTGAGCACGCAGGTGAGGCAGGTGGATGACAGTTCGCCGAGGGCGCTGCACACGCATCCGATGTCCGTCGTCCCGCATGCTGAGAGGGTGTTGAGCGCGCCCGCGTCAGAGGCGGAGGAGCACTCGGTCGTGCAGGTGGTTTGGCGGGCGGAGAGCTGCCGGAGGAGCGGGTTGGGCGCGCGCCGGACGGAGCGGGCGGCGACGGCCTGGAGGTGCGGGGCGGAGGCTGCGGCGAGCAGCGGGAGGGCGGCCAGAGCGAGGGAGAGGAGGAAACGCATCTTGTTAACGATTGGGAGATGGAAGGAGGGAGGAAGGAACGATTTGAACCCTGCTGGCGAGCGCGTTTTTCTCCTCAACCGGGGTTTTGTACCCTCCGCGCCGGCGCCGCACACGCGCCGCACACCATCGCCAAGCCCGGAGCCCAGGCGTGTTTCGCCTCAGCCTCCCATCTGCCCATCCGACCCATCAAAGGCATCCGCTTCAACAAATTCCACAGCCCACATCTCTTCCAGACCACATTCGCCAAGCCCTCTCCCCTCATTGGCCCTGCGCCGGGGGACGCGCATGAATGGCAGGACTTTTCTTTAGGAATGGGGGCGGTGCCGCCCTTGTCGCAGGAAGCGGCGGGGTCAGGGTCCACTCGGCGTTCTGGGGGTTCCGAAGCTGATGCTCGGACAAGGGCTGCCGAATTGCCGCCGAGGACACGATTGAACTTTACGCCTCGTTTAATGAGAGGCGTTAGTTGCAGTTTATCCGCCGATTACTCGATTGTGTTTATCTGCAAACGCTTTCGGAGTCCGTTCACGCGGCCATCGAGCAAACACCCGTTATCCTGCATTGCCGGATATACCAGGGCTCAAATCGACCGCCGAATTCGAGTCACCTGCTTCAGCTTTCACGTGACCAACCCCGCTTGCCTCCCATTTCCGGAAAGCCAAAACCGGCCCTGCTGTTACAGGACGCCTACCCCAGATACACTACTCATTTATTACCAATATCAGTCCACGCCGCGTTCTTCTGCAACCTCGGGATCCAGTGATGATCGAAAACACCCTTCCCGTGACCTCGTCGAAAGGACCACATAAACGAGCCGTACTACGATGAGCCGTGCCATCCCTTTGGAAGTACTGGCACAGCAGCCCATGCCATGTATCCTTCCTCGACGCCGACCCTAGCCTCCAACACGGATTCTTATGACGGCTGCGAATTGCAGTGTTCATCATTGACCGATTCGAGCCCCTATCGTGAAGTAACGGTGCATTAAGTTGCGGACCAGTCTTCTCAAAGAACTGTGCTTTGTGGACTATGCGAACTTCTACCCGTGCGTCTGTAATGCCCTCTCCCAACTTTCGACCACCTGCTTCGACTGTACGTTGTCCGACATACAGATTACCGAAGCCCAATACAGTACGATGTGTTCCTCGTCCGGGGTGGTTTGATTGTCGTGTGATGCATTACAGTTGTCATGGCGGAAAGTGTCCGTGCCGAGTTCACACCTCACGGCCCCACGAAGATGATGATGACCTTCGAAAGCCTCCATCCATCCCAGGGACCATACATTTCCACGCGGACTTTTGGATTACGGCATGAAACGCGAGCATGCCCCACGAAGACGGCACAGCAATCGGATCCGCGCTGAAAAGCATCAGAGCATTCTGTGGAAAAGAAGAGATGCAAGTTTCCATTGCAACCGGAGGAAGCGCCTGCGTGAGTGCAACATACAAAAGATGGACATCTCCCAGTCCACAACGCCTCTACTCGTCTCGAAATTCAGACCGCCGACGCCCATACATCATCTGCGATGCGCTTTCTTCTGTCACTCCTCGCAGTTCCTCTGCTCGTCAGCGCCTCCTCTTCCGGAGGGCTCAGTGGCATCTCGCTAGTACGCTCGGCATCCGGTATCGTTGGACGCCAAAGCGCTTCGGCGTGCGACACCTCCTGCTCGTCGGCATCCGATGAGGCAGCACTGCAGGCATTTGCGGCGTGTTCCGCAAGCGACATCACCTGTCTGTGCACCAGCGCAGCGGCCCTCTCCTCAACTTGCCTGCAATGCATGTTGACAAACGACGGAGTGACGGAGGCCGAATTGCAGGCCGAATGCAGTGCAGGTGCAAGCGCGACAGCCCCGAGCGGCACCACCCCAACATCGGCTGCTCCTACCTCCATCGGTGTCTGCACGTCAGAGTGCTCTTCGGCTACCGATTTGGCAGCATACAATCAAGTCCAGGTGCGTTGTTCATGCCCACTCAGGTGTCCTCCAGCGTAGTAACGTATGCGTACCAGCAATGCAACGCCACGGATGTCCCATGCCTCTGTGCGGCTCTCGCGCTCCTCTCAAGCAGCTGCTCCACTTGCGTGGAGACCACCTTCCAGATTACGCAAGCAGAGCTCAATTCAGTCTGCAGCTCTGGAGGAGGCAGCGTTACAAGCACCGGCAGCGGCGCGACGAATACGGGCTCGAGTGGCGGGCCATCGGTGAGCGGAGCTGCGAATAGCGGCGTTCCCGGCAGCGGAGGTCCTTCGCCGAGTACACCTACTAGCCCGCCGAAGAGTGCGGCGGAACGAGTTACATTGGGATGTGCTGTTGGGGCGATGGTGTTCGGGGTCATGGTCGTTCTCGCGTGAGACGAGGTCCTGCAGCATACCCGTCCAGAAGGCAGGAGTTGTGAGGATGTTATCATACTGATCACCAGTCGAATGTAATCGTGATTCCGACTCGTTTGTCACTGGGTCCAAGTTGGCGTGAGACGCATCGAGTGATTGCAGCGTTGGGACGAAAAAGCGAACCGCGCGTTGTAGGGTATTCATCGCAAAACAGATCGAGCAGCGCCATCTGGATTCCTCCACGGCGAGGTTATCCCTCGGGCAGAGTGAGAATTCCGTAGCTTGCAACCATTCCAGCCTGCTCGCAAGAGCGCTGAGACATCGGGCCACTCAGGGTATCTTCCAAAGACCAAGTCAGACGATCCGATCTCCTCCGCCAGCGCATTTCGTCAACCCCGCTTTCGTTACCTAGCCAGGGTCCATCGGGTACCTGAGCACTGCGTTAGCGGCTTATGCGTTCCAATCCAGGCCGAAGGCTGAGTGCGGGTTGGGGCACACACATCCGGCCAGCCAATCAACCTCGGGAGTTTAGGAATGTGCTGAGGTAAACCCGTTGTAGGCGCCTGCCAAGACAGGGTCTCTTTGACGGGCGGTACGCGAGGGGAAGCTGCAAGAGTGAAACGACGCGGAGCGGGCGGAGTGCAGCGGAAGGCAAGTCACCGATTCGTATTCTCGCGCAGGGCGAATGAGCGCAAGACAAGATGCGGGGGTACAAAAGGCGGGTGAGATGACCTCACAAACAGTCTGTAGGATTGACGAGACCTTCCCGACTCAGAGTCAGCGACAAAACACACGATTGTTAAAGCCAAACAATGCACCTTGGACTTTTCCTCCTCCTCCTTCCCACGCTCATCCTCGCCTCCGTACCACCCCACTTCGCACGCGACCCCTCCGCCCTCATTGGTCGTCAAACTGCGACTTGTGCATCCTCCTGCTCGTCCGCATCCGACCTTGCCGCCGAGAATGCGATCGGAGCCTGCGCAGCGACTGATGAGACCTGCGTATGCACGAACGCCGCCCTCCTCTCCTCCGGCTGCTTGACTTGCATTCTCACCGCCGAAGGATTGACGGTGACGGAGCTCGAGCAGGCTTGCGCAGGTGGAGGAGGCAGCGCAACGGTTCCGGCGAGTGTGACGGCCACGGGCACGACAACTGCACCCAGTTCCAGCCCTACGGCCTACTGCACAACGGAGTGCACCTCGGCGTCCGATCAGGCTGGCGTCACCCGCATGGAGGTACGTGCATCTCCTTACTCCCTCCCTTCCAGCTGCTGATGCTCTCTTCAGCAATGCGCCAACTCGGACCTCACATGCCTCTGCACGACCGTCTCCACGCTCTCCACCGCTTGTCGTAACTGCTGGCTCGGCCTGGTCGGGCTCACGCAGGCGCAGTACACGGCCGATTGCGCCGGCGGCGGGAGCATGAGCGGCGGTTCGGGCAGTTCGATGGGCATGGGGATGAGCGTTGGGAACGGCGGAAGCAGCGCGACCAGCACGAGCTCGAGCAGTGCGAGCTCGCCCACTAGCCCTCCGAAGAGCGATGGGAGACGCGCGGGTGTCGGTGGTGCGCTTGGTGTCGTTCTTGCGGCAATGGTTGTATTGGCGTAATGTTTGTACTTTAAATATCTTGTTCAATGATTCCCTCGCTTTAAACAAACATGGAGGCTCACCTCTTACCGCTAATAATACTCATGCGCGAACATGCACATCCATTGTCGGTAGATTAGCTCATCCTGACGCGCCTCTGACCTTCGCTTCGACCATCGGCACGTTGTCTAGAGTTAAAGCAGATTAAAAGCGGTGATCCTGCTAGCCATGCAGTAGCATAACGATAATCGTATTGTCAGAGGGATATGGGTATGGCCTGGCGATGCGTAGTATAGCGTACATGACAAGGCACACCCGATTGAAGGGGTTTTGTCCAAGTAGCCCACTGGGACGGAAGCATCCTTCGCAGTCACTTATTTACTCATCAACAAGCTTTGGCAGGGACAAAAAATATGTAAGCGTGGATGGGGTAGTGGTAACCTCAGTCGTTGCCATTGGACTGCCGAAAGCACGACAACAACGATTCGACTGGCCCCGGGTTCGATTCCCGGTCCACGCAAACAAGCGATTACCTTTTGAGGTTTGGGCCATTACTGCTTTTGGGAGTGCCAACTACGAACGGACTCGCGTGGACCACGAAGGATAGTATCCTATCACAGGTGACAACCATTGGTGAACATTTGTTCAGTTCAGGACATGCGCAAACCTATCGACCGTGCATTACAATTCGTCGCGTTATTGTACCTTAAACGTGCTCAGAGTAGGTTGTTTTCGAGGTGTCTGATGATTGGTAAAACAATCGCAATCTCGCCGTCCAGATCACTGCAACCCGCGTCATGCTCCAAGGTCCTCTGGAACGTAACGCCGGAGGGATTTTCGGGATATCCAAGGACGTTGATGCTCGGGTGGAACAAGTCGTCTACCGAGAAGGGCCTCCAACCGACGACATCCAAGCCGGCCGCCCCGAAGCGAGCGAATTGGACCCAGGCGTTTTGGATATACTTGGACAGGGCGATCTCCGTCCTGAAACGTGGTAATATCAGTAGAGGAATGACACGGGCACCGTGGGAACGACTCACCCTGTGGCAGGATACTTGCTTATGAAGCTGGACGAGTTGTACGTCTGGAACACGATGGGGATTTCGGAGGTATGGAAAGCACGCAGAGAGCCGTTCCCATTGTTGATGTTGCCAAAAACCCCTGCTTCGCTTTAGAATCTGTGCGTTCGACGGCGGGGGAGTATCACTTACCAGAGTAGATATAGCGATACGTTGGGACTTTGGCGTTGATCCGATCCCTCGCGCTGGCAAAGGCGGGGCAGTGGAACAGAACCTGGAGGGATCCTCAATGCGATGGGACAAGACACGCGAAGGTTTGAAACATACGTCAGTGCATGCCACGCTGGCCTCATTAAATGTAACAAGCGGTGGCAATTTGCCCCCAGTTGCCTCGTAGGCGGCGACGAAGATGTCCCCTTCGTTGGCGTTGTTGCCCAGGAGGGTTGGGACTTTCAGGAACTGTCCTTGAGTGAGACGCCTCTGCCAGTCTCCGAACAGGGTGTAGCCTGAGATTTTATGTCAGTTCAGCGCAAGTTGTCCCCCTTCTGGACATGCAGCTCACCGTCGGTGATAGCAGTAAATGGAATGTTGTTCTTGAGGATGGCGGATTGCAAGTCTTGCCATCGCAGCGACTGCATGCACTGCATGACATTACCGCCTGAGGGTATCCCATCAAAAGAGACTCAGGCATCAAACGATGATAAGTACTCACTGCTTGAACACCCAACGATATTGGTGATCGAGCTCCACACGGTGGGATTGGGTGCGATGAACTGATCCAGGGCCACACTAATGCACGGGGTCAATCCAATGCTCCGACTAATGATGGCTTAACTTACAGTCCGGACTCGAGGATGATCCCTATCAGATGTGTCAGCCTAGAATCGCGAACGAGGGAGCTCTTGCATACCTTTCACGATGGTATCCTGTGGGTTCCTGATAGTGTACGCGTCCACTGCCAGGGAACCGAAACTCTCCCCAAACAATGTGATGCGATTGGGGTCACCGCCGAAGTTGGCGATGTTCTTGTAAACCCACTGCACAGCAGACTCGACGTCCAGCAGTCCAACGTTCACGCTTCCAGGAGCATTGGGGAACCCGAAGATGTTGGTACGGTAGTTGATGCTGACAATAGTGATATCGTCGAAGTCGCGGGTGAAGAAAGAACCATTGTAGGCAGCGGTGTTGCTCTGTGAATACAGTCAGGCGGTACATGCGCAGAGGTCGCGACATGCTTACTGTGCCGAACTTGCCGCTACCACCATACACCCAGATCATGACGGCCGTCTTCTGAGGCCTGGTGATGGCAGGTGCCCAGATGTTGAGGTTCAAGCAGTTTTCGGAGGTCGGAACTGAGAGTTGCTGGTCCAGAATGCCTGTGATATTGAGGGCTGCTGCTGCGCTGGGCCCAATCTCCGCGGGGCAGGAGTCTCCCCAGCTGGACGCATCGAAGACTTGCGAGCGGACGGGTGCAGGCTGAGGCGGTTGGAATCGGTATAGAGCTGTGTTTGCCGCATACGGGATTCCTCGGAATTGCCGGTTTCCGTTCACCGAGATACCCCTGACCTGACCTTGTGCTGTCTGAACAAGGAGCCCATCGTCGGCCGACAGAGGTGCGAGTAAGGAGGAAAGACCGTAGGCCCACTGCAGGAGGAGCGAATACATGTGTGTTTCTTTGAGTATCAGAAACGCTATCCCAGGCGCCCTTTTATAGGTGAAGTTGGACAACAGATAGCTCCTGTACGTGCGGCCGCATTTCCATAGAGCAATCCATGCAGGCGCGGCACGCAAGCCATATGCATCTTGTACAGGTCAAGCGAGACCTGCCGAGACACGAGCCCATGCAGACCGTTGTCAAGTTCGAAACCCAAGAACAGGCCTTACAGGAGCGCGGTCGTCCCCGTGCTGATCTGCGAAGAAATACGCGAGCGGTCGACTATTTCAAGGTACAAACGCGAGTTGCGGGCGCAAGAGGAAGGGCTCAAATGGAACTGCGGATGCTGATGAGGCGCGCCGAGACAGCCCCGCACGGATGTTCTACCGCATCTGGGAAAAAAAGACGCAGTTCTCATTACAATGATCTTCAATAGAAGTTCATGCACATAACTTCTATGAATACAGTATCTAAGAGTAGTGGGGCTCAGAAGGCTGAGAAACAGTCATGAGTCCCAACGAAAACAGAAAGCAGAGCTCCAGATGTAAAATTACTCTAGGTAGCGGAAGATCCTGCGCGCATAGCGGCCGATCTTGCGCTTCTCAGCATGGAACCGTGCCATAGGGAATCTGGCATAGAACTCATCCAGGAATGTTGGACTAGATATTCTGGTCAGGCCCGGCCGTAAAGAGCGAAGATGTTGGACTCACTTCGCATAGAGGTCAAATAGGTAATGGCCTCCGCAAATCTCGGACGAATCTCCGGAACACGGCGTGGCACACTCACCAGCCGAGTTACCGTTCGGCACGGGAGCACCTCCATAATAGATACCATCGCTGCAGAAGCACAGATTCCCATGCTCAACAGCAGCGAGAGGATAGCCCAAGTTGTAGCAATAGTCGACGCAGCCTTCCACAGTCTGATCAGTAAGCGCTCCAGTGGTCGCATTGGGTATGGCGCGACTTTCATCAGGAGAATAGGGAGTCGGCTCAGAGTAGCATCCAAGCGGGGTGTATGAAGGAAGAGCACCACTGGATGTGGACGACGAGCTGGCACTTGAAGTGCCGGTGGGCGCCGTGCTAGTGGGCACTTCGGTGGAAGAGCCGGAAGAAGACATACTAGTGTCGATCGCGGTGTCGGTTGACGTATCAATAGAAGATGAGACCTCATTGGATGACGCTGTGTCGGTGCTGGTTGCCGTGCCCATGGACGATTCGGTGGAAGAGCTTGCCGAGGAGGTGCTAGAGATGGACGCTGGCGCGCTGGAGGAGGGAATCGATGTAGGCGTAATGACAGACAAGCTGGACGTGGACATCTCCGAAGAGGTGTCTGGTGCCGAGCTGCTGGGAGTCGAAGATGTAGTGGAGCTGATGGCAGCCGAACTACTGGAAGTTGACGACGTGATAGGAGTGCTGACGGTATTCGTGATAGCAGTCGACGTGCTCGACGTGAAATCCTCTGATGAGCTCGGAATTGACGACGTTGGGACAATGCTGGTCGTTGAAGTGGTGGACGCTGAGGTGGTCGTAGTGATGTCCTCGGAGCTGCTGGCAGTTGACGACATCGTGGGACTGACATCGGCAGCGCTGCTTGGAATCGACGAAGCACTCGAAGTCTCAACAGCCGGGCTGCTGGGCACTGACGACATGGTCGGAGAAAGCACTTCCGAGCTGGACATGGATGAGGCGGTAGTCGGTGTGACGGGGGCTGAGCTACTGGTAGTTGATGAGATGGGAGGACTGACTTCGACCGAACGGCTCCGAGTGGACGAGGACGTCGAAGCTTCTGTGTTGCGCGTAATCGAATGGCGACGAGTGAAGGATGACGTCGAGGTACCTTCGTGTGAGGTGCGAGTAATGGAGCGGCTACGAGTGAACGAGGATGTCGAGATACTTTCTACTGAGGTGCTCGTGGTCAAAGGCGAGAACGAAGAAGAGGTCATGGAAGACGGGGACGCGGAAGACGAGGACGCGGAAGACGAGGACGCGGAGGACGAGGACGCGGCGGAGGTTGCCAACTCCGAACCCGCTAACAAGGAGGACGACGAGGACGCTGAGGAGGACGCTGGCGAGGATGAAGGGAAGGAGTTTGAAGAGGAGGAGGCAGAGAATGAGGATGAGCTGACGGACGACGGAGACGACACGGACGACGAGACAGCAGATGTAGTCGTTGGGACGACCGGGCTCGTGGTCATCTCTGAAGAAGCGCTTGTGGTGGATGACCCAACAGAGCCCGGCGAGCCACCAACGTTCGGTCTGTTCAACCAGAAGATGAGGAGTTGAAGATAGCAATGGCAGAGATGCACTCACGTGTCCACTATGTATAAAAGACCATCGGGGCAGCTGCCGTCCGGATTTGTAGGAGTGATCTGAGAGGCATCGAGCGAGTTGCTGCAGATGCACTCGGCGCCACCATCCGCCGTCGCTGAGAACTCGTACCCTCCATTCGTGCAGGTGGTAGGACAGTCAAGGAGCGCCGCCTTGATGTTACCTGCATAGCGCGATTGGGAAGACGTCGGGAAGAGCGCGGCCAGCGGTGCACAGCCGAGGGCAGCACTGCCGGACGGTAGACCGGTAGACCCAGCCCCAGATGCAGAGCTCGTGGACGAAGAAGTTTCGACCGAGCCAGTTGCGCTGTTTGCGCCAATCGCCGTCGCAGGAACGGCCTCAGACGAGGGGAGAGCGGTGTCCGTTGCTCCCCCAGCACTTGAAGTCTCTGTTGCGGTACCGGGACTGAGAGTGGAGATGGAGAGGAGAATCGACGTCCCGCCGGTTTCCGAAACTGACAGAACAATTGACGTGAGCGAGCCGGTTGAAGACGCAGCTCCGGTGTCAGTAGCGCCCGTAT